TCTTACTTTTACACTCTAAAAGTATTTAAAAAAAATAAAAAATAAAAAATAAAAAAAATACTTGCTTATTTAGTCAAATAACTCTTATTTATTATTTTTATAATTATATTTTTTATTCATAGTCGCGAGGGATTTATTTTATTTTAGTTTTTTAATAGGTATAATTACAAAATTATTTAATAGATTTATAAAATAACAGAGGTATTGTGATGATTTGACAGTACCTATAGAGATTATGGCGTCGTTTTTAAAAATAAATAAGATCTTATACCTATAAAGGTATGACTTACGTAATTATATATTTATTATTGGTTTGATATTTTTTAAATCAAAGGCGGTTTTGTGTTCAATTTATTCTTTAAAGTTAACCAAATATTTTCTAATAAATGTAAGTTATAGATATTTAATATGATCAAAATATTGATTATAAATTAGGTGAAATACTATAATATAATGTTGTGAGCTTACTTTCAATATCTGTAAATGTATAAATGTAATTAAATGATGAATGTCATTACTCATAATTTATAAATTATGAACTATTTCAAATGTGATATAGGCAAGGCTACGTTAACCTAGGTGAAGAAGAGCATTTTCTCTAAACGGCCAATTTTGAAAGGCGGCAAAAGATTTAAATTACCTATTTGAAAAAAAAAATGTAACAATGGATTTTTATAAATAATTTTTTTTAATGTAATACTTAAGAAAATTTTTTAAAATGAGTTTATATTATTTCATATTAACTTTGTATTTTTCTCTATAACTCTAGTAATAGTATTGTAAATTGTCAAATTTCTATAATAAATATTAAGCGATACACGTAATACACGGACCACACATTTATATCTAATGGTGTATATGAAGTTTTGAATTTAAAAACTTAATCTTTCAACTAGCTATCGTATAAAACGTGGTTAAAAAAAATAATAATCAACAGGTGTCTGTGAGCCGTAAAAGAAAAAATATAATTGAATATTTTTACTTTTTTTTATACTCATAATTTTGTGGCATCACATCTAATGTAGGATATGAAGTTTCGAAATTTAAAACTTATTCCTTCACTTATATCTATCGTTTGAAACATGGTTATTTAAAAAAAAAACAACGGTATGTATAAAATTAGTGAACTTACCAAAACTGCCTGCAAATGTATAAACATCAGTACTTGATTATTATATACTTTTTAAAATGATAAAAATGTTTTTATATGAAATACTCAACTAAACTCTTAACAAAATAAATTTTGGTACCTTATACATTAAAATCAAGCTTAAAAGTTATATTTTATATTAAATACTTTATAAAAACCATATATTATTTTTTTCTTGTTAAATATTAAAGTATGAAAACAAAAATAAAACTACTCGTAAATTTAGTAATATAATATTATAATAATTAAGTTATTGATGATGATTAGCAGAAAAAAAAATATGCTAGTTTTTATTTTTATTTTTCAAGTGGTATAGGAAATTTTAAATATTTATAAAATATTTTTTGTTTAGAATGAATTTTCAAAAAAATTTCTGAGTTGTAGTATAAATCTTACAAATTACGTAAGTTTTAAATATTTTGCAAGCAATTTCTGGCTTAGGAAAAGTTTCTTATGCATTAGGTAGTAGGATTACTTTCTGATTCTTTTGAATATAGTTAAGTATAAATTCTGGTTTTCGTAGTTGTACTGAAAATTCTTTATTAAAAAGATTAATTGGAAAAAAAATTTAAGTTGGTAAGAGAGACTGGGGAAACGTAGGTACTTTAAAATATTGATTCAACTGATTTTTAATATGACAATAATAAATGGATTTGTGGTCTTACCCGTAATGCATTTAGCTAAATAAATATAATCAAATATTTTAGTGACATATAAATGTATTAAATAATATTATATATCATATTTACAAATGAATGGTTAATTTGTATAGTTATTTATTTTAAATAATTTATTTAAAAATGTAATATTAACAATTAATTATAGGCTGTAATATAAATATCTATCAAATGGAGATCTAGTAAATGTATTTAAAATATTATATTTCCTTTAAATGTTTATAGTTTACATTTAATAAATAATTTAAAATAAACGTAATAATACCTATTTTATTGAAGATATTTTGATTTTTATTTGCTATAAAAATATTTAAATTTGAAATAAAATGTTATGATTTGGTTTAAAAATTGATAAAAAGGATAAATATTTAAAAACATGATATACAAACTCACAAAATACAATATAATAATTTATTTATTTATTATATAATACAACTGTTAAACACTTAATTACCTATTTAATGAATAATATTATTTAATTCATAATTTTATGAATTTATCGTAGACCTAAACTTAGTATATATAGACTAAAAAAATTATAAAACAACATAAATAGAAATTAAGTATAAAAAAGGATTTTTTAAATTTTGAGTTCTAAGGAAGAATTAAGTATTAGTTATGTCTTTTTAAATACGTAAGTTCAATGTAAAAAAAATATGAACCTTGAAATATTTTAAAGTTTTATTATCGTATAGTTTATTTTATAATAGATAAGTAAAGGCGTAATACTTATTTATTTGATAATTCTTAAATATCAGAATGTTTTCATTTTATTCGAAAAAGATATAAGCCACAGTTTTTGACAAACGGTTCTCTGTATTCTAATCAGTATTGAGTTTTTGGTTTGTGTACAGTTCTTCAAAATTAAAAATGTATTATTTAACTTTTTATGTCAATTGAAATTGACATAATATATCTATTTGTTGCACTCGAAACAATACAAATTTTAAAATATATTCTAACTCGGAGGTTCCTAAATTGTGAGTCGTGACCCAAAAGTGGGCTGTGATTATTTTTTTAGTTGGTTACGTTGTATTTTAATAATTTATAATAACTTTAAGTAATACATTTTCTTAAACACGTGTTTTTATAATTTTGTGCTTTTATTACTTTTCGTTGATGTTAAAATTCAGTTTTGTCATAAATCGTACTAACAAATGATTACCTGCTTGACGTTCAAAATTATTGATTATTTTCAGCAATAGTCGGTACATCAAATACGATACACGCACCCAGTTTTAATACTACTTTTTCTCAAATAGCTAATAAATTCGTTTATTTTGTGCTTTTGTATAATTACTATGGACAAATAGTTAAATAAAAAATCAACTACTCAAAGTTCTGCAGAAACTGAAGAAAAAAAGACAATGATATCTATGTAAACGTTTAAAAAAATAAAATAATTGATTATGAGGGTTCAACAAGTTTTTATAGTCAAAATAAAAAAAAAAAACTTACAGAAAATATTGTCTAAATTATTTGCGAATTGAAGTTTTTTGTGGAACGGAAACGAAGAACATTTACGACCACAATGTATTATTTGTGGATGCACACTTGTAAATAAGAGTATGCGAACAAACAAACTACATCGACATATAGATACGAGTACAAATCATCCAGAAATAACGAATAAAAAATTTGAGTTTCATGAAAAAAAATTCATGATAAAATAATTTTTAACGCGATTAAATTAACTTGACGAATATTAATAAATAATATAAAAATTCCTTGATAAAAATTTAAATATAAGATTTACTGTTTTTAATATATGTCATTTTTAATTTTTTGTCGTAAGAAACTGATCTAAGAAATAGCAAAAAAAAAAGAAAAAAGAAAAAAGGTAATTTATATTATTGGGTCTTCAAAATATAAAAAATTTCTAGAATGAATCATACTATAAAAAGTTTGGGAATCTCTGTTCTAACATCTAGTTTGGTTGTATTTTTGAGTAGATAATTTTTTAAAGGAGTTTTGTCTTACATTTAAAAAATGTTTTGTTTGACAACTATTTGAAACAATTGCAGTAGGTAATGATTATAAATCATGTTTGCTCATGATTATTTTTAAATTTGAATTTCAAAGTTTGTAGATTATAATTTCCCAAAATGTATTATTTTACCAAACTTGTCATATCAATTGTACACAAATTATTTATTTTTACACGCTATATTTAACTAAACTTCTTTAAATTAAAATACTAAGTTTGACTTATTAATTATTATTCTTATATTTATGATAAATTGTAAAATATAATTTAAAATACAACTTTCGGACTTACTTATTTCTACTAAAATCATAATACAAAATATTAAATAATCAGAACCTATTATTAGTGTTATACTTATTAAAGATTATCTTACATATTTTAAATATTCAGAGTGATGTAATATGTAATGGATGTATTGGTTTTACAGATGTATAATGCAATGTTTTTTTTTTAAATTTAATATAATATTATCATATTTTTATTATGTTTTAGATCAGAATATTATCAAGTTTTTATCTGAAAATACTCAATATTAAATGTAGGTCTTGATCAGATATATTGAAAATGTAAGAATATGTTGCTAATTAGTTATTTTTTACTGCAGCTTGAACAATACCAAAAAATACATAACCAACATTAATAAAAGCATTATAATTTGTGAATTAAAATCTTTTGAAATTGAATAAATAAAAAAAAAATAACGATTTTAGTTTGATGTACCTAGTTAAGTATAAAGAATCAATCACAGAAATGTAAAACAATTAATCATTATGTAAGTGTATTATATTTTTTTGTGAAAAAATAATAAAATTGTTGTTATATATAGACTAATAGTAAGCTATTTTAAATCTTTTTACTCATTTTATAAACTTTATGGTATGTTGGTAAATTATATTATACTAGGATAATTTAGATTTATAAATTTGAATTTTTATGTATGAATAGTAAGTTTATACTATAACTCACAAAGTCTATTACAATATTGTGCTGGAGTATACACTTTACCTGTAAAGAAATTTAAAAAAATAATGTAATTCATTTGGGTGCCTTTGATACATAATAAATTATAAGTGAAAACATACAATATAAAATTATTATTATAAATACGTTCAAGGTAAATTCTATGAATTATTTTTTGAAATTATTAGCTAGATTAAAGAATAATGCTTACTATTATCACATTTTACTTGTATTATTTTATCGTAGTATTTCCATATATAATCTAAAAAGTATAATATTTTTAATAATTAGTTTTGATAGATATTATTCATTGAAACATTTATATTTTTTTATAATATACATAAATACTTAATTATTTCTAAGTTACATCAAATGACTATGTACCTACAATTGATAACTGAGGAGTTATGTTAACTAGTGCGTGATTATGGTGATTAATACTTATTCTCGTTGCGATAACTTCAGAATTTAATTCGCCACCATTAATTTTATCATTATATTACTTAAAATATAAGTATCTGCAAATTTTTATTTTTTCGTATTGATTCTATAGGTTAAAAAAAAAAAAAATACCTGGAACATCTGTTCCGTCTTTTATTTCACTAGTAGACTCTGCAATATCTAATAGGAAAATATGAAAAAATATTGAAAATTTATTAATACATTAGAGTATTATCAGTTAATGTTATAAATTGATAAGCTTAATTATTTACAAATCAAGAAGATCGTATAGTGAAGATATACTACAGTCATCCTAGTTCTTTCTATTAAATCTATTTTTTAAATTGTTACCTTTTTAATTTCAATTCATTTTTCTATTTCTTTTTTTCCCCTTATGTCTATTCTACTAACTCACTTACCATTTATGCTATTCATATTTTTATTTTAGGTAATGGTGAGTACCTACATTAAGTTTGAGATAACCTTTGGCTATAAATTTTATGGTTCACAACATTTATTTTATTAATTACCCACATAATTATAATAAATAAGAGTATTTAAAATATATTCATAAGTGTATAGTATAATTATTAGTTAATGAGGTAAATTAAAAAGATATTATGTAAGCGCATCATAAACAGGAAGACAAGATGTAGTTTAAAATTATACATTTTAAAACATACGAGTACTTGTTGTTGTTTTAGATTGTTGAAGTTTGGCTTTTGCATGATTTAAAAATGTTTGACGATCCTCTGGAATAGATAATTTTTATGACAATCACTAATACACGTTGAATTATCACACAATTCATGAAATACAAATATATTTTATGAGCATTTATTCAGTAACCCTATTGGTTAACCAATAATTTAACAAACTCTTTATTCTATCAGTATAAAGCATAAGTAGGTACTACATTAAAATAAAACTCTCATGTCGGATTTCATGAATAATCAATAAATATTTAATGACCTCATGATGATCTAATGATCTCTAACACACGATTGGATAATTATTTATCGAAAAATTAAATTAATCAATTTTTTATGTAATCCGTTATAACTGATCCTAATAGACACGTAAAATAAAAAATAAAAATATATTATTTTCTTAAAAATTTATTTTGCTAATAAATATCACGAAAAAATTCGATAAGAAGTAAACATGTATATTGTATGCAATTGCTATTGGTGATTTTAATGTAAAATTACTTGAAAATTATTTTTTAAAGGTATAGATCAATTTGTTGTGTGTCCGCCGTCGTGCACGCACGTTTGCCGCGTCGCGTGCGCTATCTCTACCATTAGTGTTATTAGATAACCATGTTCATGCGTTAGTACGATATCGGGTCCGTCCGTCATGTCTCACACCTTTACTTCGGAATCGACAAAACGGAATCTGTCGTCCTCCTCTTCACCTAATTCTAACCCAAGAGTCAAGACTCTCAAGACTTTCATATCGCCAAACCGTTTCGCCGTGCTCACCCCGGATGAGGACCTCCCGGAGGTTTTTAGTCCACCCAGCGTCTCAGCCGCCTCTGAATTTCAATGCGAAACAACTGCTCCAAAATCAAAACGCCTCGGCGTCAAAGTAGCTGAAGTTGCCAACAAACCATCACCGCCAATAGTGATAAATAATGTCACAAATTACTCTGCGTTAAAAGCGGATTTTATTGCTTTACTGGGCGCCGACGGTTTTACCGTTACCGCCAAGGGCACCTCCATACATGTCAAAACGCGTAATTGCACAGACTACTATAAATTGATCGATTATTGCAATGACCAAGATCTTGAGGCCCATACGTGGGCATCCCGACATACCCGTTCAATAAAAGTATTTATTCGTCATTTACATCACACTATTGCCGTTGAGGATATAGAAAAAGCCCTCACGGTTGAGGGTTTCTCCGTCATAAATGTGTCAAACATACACCATCGCGTAAGCAAACAAGCTCTTTCTCTTTTTTCTGTTGTTCTTACGGCAAACGAATTTAACCGGAGTATATACCAACTATCTTTTCTTTTAAACTCTAAAATAGTGGTCGAAAAACCAAATCAAGCTCGATTTCCGCCACAATGTAAACAGTGCCAACGTTATGGTCACACACAAGGGTACTGTAACAACCCGCCTAGATGCGTCAAATGCAGCAACAATCATATCTCCAAGGCATGTACCAAACCTTCCAATACGCCTGCAAAATGCGCGTTATGTGCCGGCGCACATACCGCGAATTACAAAGGGTGTTCATCAATAAAAAAAATATCATACACCTCCCACAAGAAAGGACATACGAAGATCACACCACCAGCTCCATCGACCGCGCCCTCTAAAGTTTTGCATGTCACAGATGTACCTCCGCTTGCCCACACTCAATTAAATTCCAAAAAAGGTGCCAAGACGTATGCAAAAGTAACTGCAGGCAACTTGCACAATTCAAACACCGAATCTATTTCAGTAATCATGGCTCATTTCATTACGCAATTAAATTCCCTTATTACTCCACTAATCTCGCTCTTATCTAATCTCCTAAATACAATTCTTTCCAAAAATACTTTACCTCCTTAATTATATCTGGCCATTTTATATACATTTAATTATTTAATTGGTTTATATCAGTACTCTTATCTACAATTGTATCTGTTTCTCTTTTATTGTTTTACTATTTTCAACTAATATTTGTATACTTTGTAACTGTCGAACCTAATAGTATAACTAAGGTTTCAATAAAAAAAAAAAAAAAAAAAAAAAAAAAAAAAAAAAAAAAAGGTATAGATTTGTATAAATTATTATATATAATATATTTTAACTGTTAAATTATTATAAATTTCCATATAAATATATACATTTAAACGTTAAATATTAAAATCACTTTTAACCACGACGTTTGAGATATTTTTAATTTATAGAATACTCGTAGTTACACTATACATATTACTTACCAAATGTCATTGCGATAATATAATTTTTAAATCCAAACGTATCTATATATAATAATATGGTATATTAAACATTTATTATTCGTCTAAGTTGAACATAAGACAGTATCCACACTGGGTGGGCTACCGTCTTGTAGAAATAAGAACGCCTTGTTGTGTTCAATGCTGAAGGTGTGCTTTATTTCTATGTTTGTGTTAAGTAAATATTATAAAATTGATTGAGCAGCGATGGTCTACTTGGCGTCCAGTATTCTCTTACAATGTTGAATATGTTTTATATACACACTATCTGACCCGGCCACGCGTTGCTGTGGCTAAAGTTTTTGTTATATTACATTAAGAGGAACAATAAGAGAACATCAGTCACGGAGTCCACTATGCTTTTTCACACAGATGGTATTTGTAAAAAAATATGGTGATCTCCTTATTTGACTTTCTACTACTATAACCCCTTGGTACAATGAAATTATTTACTAACAAAGACGAAAATGTTGATGTTGGTATACAAATTCACTGGGTTGAGATTTGAAGGGGAAGTACGTTGAACACATTTAATTGAAATGTTCTTACACTTGATATTAAGCAGAAATCAATAGGTACAAAATAAAAATTTATCAGATTTATTATTTCCATTTAATTTTATAACAAATTTCAGTATATTACAGTATAATACAGTAAATAACATGTGACGCTTAAACTCATGAACGAGATATGCAAGGCAGACAGTCTTAAACTTTTAAACATTAATATCTAATTTTTTGAATTATAAATACTTTCAATTTCAATTTAATTTAACACCAATCGGTGCACAATGCTTTTGGTTAACCTGTCTTTAGCTAACACAAATAGATTCGACGGTTTCCCAACACGTGAACACGCAACATATAGTTGCCCATGGGAAAAACATGGATTTTCCAAATCTAAACCACAAATGGACATTGTTTGACCTTGAGATTTATTTATAGACATGGCGAAAGCTAAACGAATTGGAAACTGTAGCCTTTTGAAGGGTATGGTAGAATCTGATGGTATCATTGGAATACGTGGCAGCAGGACCTTTGGCATCAGTGATCTGATTTTATGGTACACCTGGCCTTGAATTTTGAATGTAGTTTCAAAATTACGTCCATCGGATGCACGATCGCAAATTTTAGTTTGGAAGCAAGAATTAAATTTGCGTATCTTACGCAAAAATAATTTGGAATCATCTGAATTGCCAGTAAGAAAGGATAATAAAGGCTCCGGCGGAGCGGGTAGAGGTGACAGCACAACTTTTCCTGATGCGCAGCACATGCCGGCTGCTTCATTCCGAAATTTCAATGCCTGACAATATTGACATACTTTATCCGTTCCACCGATAGCAATTTTTGAATGCGCTGAGTAGTTAATATCTGGTGCATATTCAAAGGCAAGCCGAACGAATGATGCACGTGTTAATGAGCGGCTGATCCGTTGCCTTTGTCGATCTCTTTCTCGTACTGTAGCTATGTTTCATTCTCGTGCCGCTCTTGTTCTCGTAATATTCTGTTGCAGACGTTCGTCACGCTGTTCTTGAGATTCTCGTGCACGACTATCTGCAGTCCTGATTCTTTGAGCTGCATTTCTTGTTTCGATTTGTTCTGGTAATTGCTGAGCTCTTTTAAGTTGAACCAAATTACACGCGGTGTAAAAATTTCATCAGGATCGGTTAAGTGGTTTAGGAGTCCATTGAGGACAAACATTGTGACATGAGATTTATATATATTAGATTTATATATATTAAGATATATTATATATATACAATATACAATTCTCGGGTGGGGAACGAGACTATGTACGTCGGGCCCTCTTTTTAAAGTGGTTTCCGATCCATGTCTAGTTCGGAAAGTGTGGCCTAGACAGACGCGCTGGGCGTGACACACAATTTGAGAGGTTGCCCTGAAAAGGACAATTTTAGGAGTCTCGGAGGAGAATCAAGCGGGTATTAGCCCGTTGGCGAGGTCCGGAGCGCCGATGAGGGATTATATGCCACCGTTGGCTGCGGCTGTGGTCTTCTCTTTTGAGTTCTTCAATTTTTTTCTGTGTATTGAATGTAGATGTTGAAGGTTTGAAGATTGAAAGAAGACTAATGAATAATGATGTACTCGCGTATAAACGCGTCGCCGTATCGACTAATAAACATACGCTTAGAGTAATGTGTTTAGTGTCGGCCCGATTTCCCGTTTTATTCGATCTATATTCATTCCACAGGAGTGGAATTTGTATCTTTAAAATGGAAACAACCTATCCTAATCCGCCAATATCCCTTTCCTGCCAATCGTCCATATAAATAGCCAGACATCGGCCTTTTTTGTAGCATTTGTTTCTGATTGGTCGCGGCTGTCGTATCTCACGGGCGGTATAATATACGTGTTGGCCCTGAAGAGGGCGGTGTTCGTATATGTGTGCACCGTAACAAACGCTCATTATTGTACTAATTAAATTTAATTGGATGCAATAATTACAAACTAGTTTTACCGAACTGATAGGGTTGTATAAAATAATAAATTAAAAACATACTTACAATCAAACCCAACAGTTACAAGATCGACTATTAAACATTTTTCATTATTAATATTTTATTATTGGCAAAAATAATATTTATTGAAAAAAATGATTTATGATAAATGTAATTAATTAAACAAATATAAATTTAAAAATTATATAAGTTAATTGTAAGAAGTTAGTTCAAAATGAAAACGTTAGATGAGAATAATAGAGTTGAATTTCATTATCTAATAAAACTTGAAATCATTGTTAAAAGATAATGAAGGTAAGCATTAATTACGGGCATATGTAAATTGCACCAATTACGACCTTTTCAAATCTTTTTTCATGTTAACTTACAGATATGCTAATTTGCTTGAAACAAATGTTAACCCGCCAATATAAATTTAAATTATTATATATAAGATATTTATACCGTTTTTTATACCAATTAAAAATATATATAACTAACAATAATGATGAATAGTTAGTTAAAAAAACAAAATAACTAATTAAAACTAACATAATTTGTTTATCGGCATTATTATACCATAAATTACGTGCAGATTTATTGTATATATAAATAGACAATATTATACGCTGACTATTTCGTTCAATGTTATCATCTAAAAATAAATGGAAGAACTTAAATCTGTCTAATGTATAATATTTTGTCCGTAACGTGTTCTTATAACAATATTTTATTATTATATAATTTTATTAACCGGTGGAACGATATATTTTAGATAGTGCAGAGTGTAGTGTATATTACTATACAGATGCGCAGATATAGTAAAATAATTTCAATATCTACAATTTTCCATTAAATGCAGTTATTTTTTCATGGTTATGTTTATATTATTGTATAAATAAATTGTATTATTTACTAATATGAAAGTATCTTACTATAGCATTCTAAAAAAAAAATATTTATCAAATAAATATTAATGCATTGTAAATACTTTGTATTTTGCTAAGATTAACACAATAAAGCAATTTTTTGGTTAGGTTGAATTTAGAAATGAAAGCTAATGATGAAAAATGGAGAATATCGATTTAATCATCAGACATAATTGGACAAAATTGGTCACTGTCTAAGGATTCTTTTATTTGAGATATAGTTTACCCATACATATTATATATAATCTTAATCTACATTTTTTATTTATCTAGGTAGGTATCTATAATAATTTTGTAGTGTGATGTAACACAACCTGAAATAACCGATGTGTTATTTGTATTACGTATACTACATATATCACAATTTATTTGCAGAATTTGTATACACCAATAAGCAATGACAGTAAAAGAGTATTTTTGTTTACAAAAACATTTTCTGCTGTCATTAAACAGGGAAAATAAAGGAAAAAAAAGTATCTATTATAGAATCTATCATTTTTATTTGGAGTTATCTTCGAAGCAACTGACTCGATTTACATAAAGTTTTTTTTAAATTTTTTTTAAAAAGGACAATGAACCAATTCTTTATCATATTAAATATGTCTGAATTTCCACAAAGTTATACTTTTTTTAAAAAATATGATTTTATGAATTAATCTAGTGTTTCACATTCATTTATACGTATTTGATTAATTTGTTTTTCTTATCTTAGAATAACTTTATTATTTGTAATTAATTTATTTTATAAAATGCATTTTGTTTGAAGTACCTACTTAATATAAAATAAGTAAACTTACTTTGATAAACTAGAAAAAAATAAATAACAATTGCATTTTATGTTTTATTATTTAATGTTCAGCATATTAATATTTTTCTGTAATGACTTGTATATGATTTAAGATACACTGATAAACTTTAAATTTATTATAAGTTAACTATGTAGATATATTGTTTTTTTTATTCATAGGTACTTAATAATTTAATGATTATTTTTCTTATTGTACTTATTATGTGCATAGACTATAAATGCATAATATGGTCAAGTGTTGTGTAATAAAACGTAATTTTTACAAAATGGAAAATTGGTTTTATTAAATTTATGCAACTTATATAGAAATAGGATGTAGTCTAATTTAAAGTTTATCTTAATATGTACAATATATTAGAAAATTAACATCAAATAAGTATAAGATTATATATCTATTAAATATAATTAATAAAGGTTAACATTATCTTGAAATACTATAAGCAGTATAAACAGTTTAGTTTTATAAAATTTTTTTATTTTTAATATTTTATTGCACAATCTATTTATAAATATTTCAAACGACAATTAGTGTGATGATGTATAATATGAAAATAATTCGTGATTCATAGAATGAAGAATCCTCTAATTGGATTGAATTCGCTTTAAGAGTTTAAACATTTAAAATAATTTTCTTTTGTTATGACATATAAATAAATTATATGTTTTATAGTTTATTTATATAATTTTTTTTAAACTTACCATTAAAATCTAAAAAAAAAAAATATTGTATTAATTAAATTTTTTGAAATTTAACATTTCTATACATCATTGAGTGTAAATTAATATACATTATATAAGTTCATTTATAAGTTGGTATATATAAAGTTGATTTATAATTATTTTGTTTCAAAATGTAATTTACTTTTATCATACTTTCAGTTCATATTTTAAAATTTAAAATTGTAATTGATTTAATGATAATTTATATAATTTTTTATTCAAATAATTTCCACTCCATCAGTTCTTAGTTGTATTTTTTAGTATAGAAATAAAAATAAAAATATTTTTAAAGTAAAAATAATGTATTTGTTAAAACGTATTTTATTACTTTCATAATATAATATTAGTGTTAATATAGGTATAAAATAGGTAATTGATTGTTGTTACCTTTAACAGCATGATTACTATTTATAAAAAATATTACAATTATTGTAATTATTAAATTTTTATAAGAAATCATTGTTATTGTTCTGACAACTAAAACAACACTGGCATTAATTTTATTTTACAAAAAATATGGATTTTCATAACTGTTGGTTGAATAAAAAAAATATATTGTTTATTTATTAACAATTAAACAAACATTTAACGCATATACTATGTAAATACTTAAAGGTACAAAGCAAGTTGAAAAATTTAATATTATGTTGGCTTAATACAATTTGCTTCTCTTCACTACT